GTTATGACTGGAAGCTTAGTTGTAGCAGGAAAATTGTTATTTGTAGATAGTTTAATTTGAAAAAGATTTCTGTATAAAATGTCTAAATGTTGTTGCTCATTGTTTGCACAGTTTTACACAATATTTTAAGATCTTCACTCTTTTGGTTGCTTTTGTTATCACGGGATCTGTTAACTTCTTTTGTCGTGGAAATAACACTTTGTGACTGTGAAAGAGGACAGTAAGGTATTTAAATATTTTGTTTAACAGATTATATATGTTGCTGTTTTGGATGGTCGAAAATATCATTAAAGTTTTTATTAGTTACAGTAATACGCTCTGTAGAAGTGTTCCGTAGTACAGTGTTTGTTGTGGTTAAAATAAACGTAGTTTCTTCACAGGTTTTTCGCCAAGGTTCTTGCAGTGTTCCCGAAATTTGGACATAACAGAAATATCAATGCGGTGGTATCTCTCGATCATGCATTAACATGAGTTCTATTCGTGATTCCAATGACAGTGTTTCATGACAGGAGTAAATTACTTTGTGTCTTAGCAATCGTTCTAGAAAAAAACTTGACAGTACTAGTGATTTGACAGGGCTCCAGGGTTACAATGGCGGGATGGGATCTTGCAATTGGTTACTCCATTTTTGGTTTGAATGCTGTTGTTTTTGTTTATCTCCTCTTATGGATCTTTTTGGTTGTGAGTTGTATTTATTTGTATTTTTGCCCTAAACGGATCTCAAAATTATGAGTCTTTTCATCTGCTATTGACATCAGTTTTCTAAACTGAATTTCAAGCAGTTTATTTTTCAGCCGTTTTTATCGTCTGATTCCTATCTTCGCTTAGCATTCTTTCCTCAATATTATGCACTTTTTATTCCTTCGGTATGCTTTGCGCTTACGATACTGTTGGTTGGTAAGTTTTAACTATTAGAACTTATCGAGATATTACCAGTATTCAGTGATACTCTTTATCATGTTTGTTATAAATGAACAATTCGGAAGCTAGTGCCATGTGAAATAAAGTTTGATTTGTTAGGCTTTTTTTCACTTAATTGTTACATCAGTTGGTTGATTTTCTATCTTAGGATCGTTTATCGCAATTC